CTTGCTGAGGAAGTCTACTTGTTACCATATGAATACAACGGATTAATCAGCAGAAAATTCTGGTAGCCCTACTATTATTAACTCATAAATTTCGAAACTACTCTTTTTGATTAACACAACAGTACGACAGAAAATTGAAGTAATCGAAATTTTTTTCAAAGAATTTTTTTTCATAAATTTTTTCTTATGACGAAAAAATGATAGAAAAATTTCAACCAACTTTTTCTTGCGTTGCGATGCTGAAAATTTTTGAAAAACTCGTCCAGTTTTTTTGTGATCAGTAAAAGTTATCAATAATCTAAATACCAGGAAAAACAAGACCACCCTGGCTATGGCTATCAACGTCGGTATCCCACATTAGTAATGTTACTAAGATGCTTCCAAATTTCGAGTACAGATGTGCCCAGTCGTTCTATCTTAGACTACACACTTCCATTTAGTATCCATCGCCTGTGCGCCACCTTTTTTGCGTGGTCCACCCGAGTGATCGTCTTCTTTTTTGCGAGTGCCACCCACTAATACGCAACGTCCTCTCGATAATTAATATACATTTGGAAAATGCAGTAATAATTCAGTTGACAGTAAAGAACGTTAAACCTCTCAAATCTAAAAGGGACCTTTCTTCGCTAACAATTGTTTGGAAATATGTTTTCCGTGCAGATTTCAGGATTGATGCGAAAATTGTAACGTCGGATTGCTTTCTAATCCTACCCGTCAAATATTTGTCTATGTGCAAACAATGTGTTTTGTATCAAACAGGGGGGGAGGGGGAAGGAGGGCTGAGGAGGAAGGGGGAGGAGATGGGTAGGTGAGAAGAATAGGGAGGAAGGCGCGAAATATGCTAAGATAGCTTATTGACAGATTATTGAGTTGCAGCATTCATCACGTCTTGTTTATCACAGTTATCGTCTTTCTTGCAAAAAGATTGTTTTTGGTTTTGTTTTTCAGTGTCAGGCTGAAATTCGCAAAAAGAAATTTAGATAATTTTAAAAATTTTTATCAAATTTGACTTATTTTGGCAAATCGCTGATTTTTTCTGCTCGCGAGTAAATTTGCTGACTTTTTTCGTTATCGATAGAAATGTGTTTTTGAGAGCTTAATTCTTTCCGAAGAAAATTTCGCTCCTGCTTCAGAACCAACAAAATCCTCTATTTAGAACAGATGAGGGTGATTAGGACCGGAAATTTCATATTTTTACAGTACAGCAGGCGATGAATGCTGACGAGCGTGGGTCGCAAGTATCACTCGAGTAGGTTTTGAAAAAATAACACACATGCATCGAACTAGGCGAAGAGGGAAATGCAGCTTAAAATCAAAGCATCTCAGCTGGCTACGCCCGACATTTGGAAGCATTCCAGTAACATCACTGACATGGGATTCTCACACCGACTGTCCAGTTGCCTCGGTGATTTTTGTACATAACTATGTGGAGTAAATGCTATTCATGATAGCAAAAATATTTCACGTCTGACAGCTCAAAACGTCTAAATCTTTCT